CCATTCATTTTAATAGGTTTCCTCTAGCTGAGTCTACGAATGGATTTAGCTTGATGGTTTCATGAGGATCTTGCATCCTGCCCCAGGTGGAAGGATGCTAGTCTTGAAGGACCGTGTTATGTGCACCACACGGTCTGTCTTGCAATCCTTAAACCAGCCTGGTGTCCTCAGTGATGGTGAAGGTCCCAATCCTGTTGCCTGTCAGGTTCTACCACCAATCTACTGTATATGGCTTCTCTTTGGCTCATGGAATGAATAGCATTTGGACCTTTCCCTCAAGTGCAAATATTTCAAGCTGGCCCTGTTTCATCCATCACAGTTTAGTTTAGTTATACACAGTTTCCCCCAAATGTCCAAAGAAACTTACAATAAATTCCAATATATCGAAATAGAAGATCATGTTTTGGGGGGAAATAATTTGTTAATTTGAAAGTATGCTTCTTTCTTTGCTTCAGCGGGTAAAAACTTGTGACTACCTATAATCTAATTACAGTCTATTTTAAGAAATGTATTGGGTGCCCAATGAGATACCAAAGCTATATGTAAACGGAAAAAGAAAATACATGTAGTAATTGATCCAGAATGTCATTTTCTATAAAGAATTCAAATCAGACAAGAACAACAACCCAATAAATATAGAATAACTATAACATGAAAATTAAATATCCCAGCACAAAATAAGTAAATGAAATGGATCTTCAAAGAATGCCAAACTAATGCTTAACTGTATTTCTATTCTTACTCCTCTGTAGAGGACTTAAGTGAAAAAAGGCTTAAGTGAAAAAAGAAAACATGGCTTAAGTGAAAAAAAGGAAAGGTAGTCATTATTTTTAAAAAGTAACTTTCCAAATTCTGCTCTAAATGAGGCTGGCAGCAGCCAGAAGAATATGCTGGTAATTGGCCAAAATGGGAAGCTTTAATACAACCAAACAATGCTCTGGCATCTATTCCACAGGTGGTTTTAGACCACTGGACTCTCCTCTGCTCCAGTTATATCATTGTGACCCCCCAAAACTCAAAGGGGGCTGTCATGAAAACAGAAGTCAGATCAGAGTTTGCGAAATGCAATACTGGCTTTATTATAGCTTCGAAAAAGAGAGATGCTTAATCTAGCCTTCCATGTTATGATCAACCCATTCCTCTGCCTTCAACTTTCCAGCTAAATACACTAAGTAGATTATGCTACAACATCAGTGCTGAATTGATTCGAATATATTTTTGTGCCTCCATATCATCTGGAGTCAACAGTTCACCATAATACCTTGGAGAAAGTTTACCCGATGGTAGATTTACAAAAGCATTAAAGGGGGGGGGAAGCTAAGCTGGAACAGCAATGAATTCCTGTATTATAAAAAGAAAAAATCCTTTAAATCTGCATTCATCTTTACAAAGGAAACAGAAAAGTCTGATTAATATTAGAACATGTTCTCTTGATTGTAACAAAAGCACCCATGCCCCAAGAAAGGGGTGGAGAATGAATTTCTTTCTGTTTGAGCCTCCCCTTCTGCCTTGATGGGTTACTCTGTCCTCCGGATGCTGCTGCAAAGACCATAATCTGCAGAGTCTGATTTGCACATAGCAAAATAAATCTTCCTAAGAAGAGAAAAGCCGGAATTGCACAAAAACATTTGCTACCTGCCCTGGAAATAAAAAGGAACAGGACTCGATATTTGGGTGGTTGGGTGGGTGGAAGAGAGAAGCTTGAGAAATAATCCTTGAATTGCATTACATTTGGGGGAGAAAAACAATCAAGCCGATTATGGATTGCAGTCACACCCAAGCTGGCTGGTTTCAAATACTTTGCTGGCGTCCAGCAATGCAAGATCTAGAACAGAAGCGGAACAAGAAGGATACCGCTATCGCCGCCGCATGCTTCGTCTCAGTACAACGTTATGATGCGGTGCCTTCGACGCTGGCACAGATGGAGAGAAGGCTGAGCATATGTTCCCAATCCGCCTCGCCACAGACACTTGCTAGAGTGATAGTAGCATCAAGAAGGAAGGATGCAGACGTGCCAATTCACAGGGACTGACAGATCAAGAGGGCAGCAGTTCCACTGGCTGCCGACCCATTTCTGGGACAAACAATTCAAGGTGCTGGTTTAAAGGCTTAAATCGCTTGGGTCCAAGCTATCTCCAAGACCGCACCTCCCTTTATGGGCCTCCGTGGGTGTTAAGATCATCCAGGGAGGACTTTCTCTTGGTCCCATCACCCTCCAAGATTTGTTTACTGGGGACCCAGTGGGGCCTTCTCAGTCACTGGAACTCCCAGACTCTGGAACTCCCTCCCACAGGAGGCCGGGCTGGCCCCATCTTTGCTGTCCTTCCACAAGATTTTCTTCTTCAGGGAGACTTTTCCTTAGTGACTGGCTGTCTGGCTATGAGAGGATTTTATATGAGATGGTTTGTATTTTTGTTGCTTTTAAATCTGTCTCAAGAACGCTTTTACCTAACATTTTCAATAGAGCGCTGATTTGATTTCTTAAAGATACTGGAATCATTTATAGTTTTTTTAAAGCTTTTAATATTGTGTTTTTAAGCTGCCTTTTTAAGGAGAAAGCTAGGGGGGAAATATTTTGAAGAAAAATAAATAAATAAACGGAAGAGCTAGAGATCTGTTAGCATCAAGGAGCTGCAGAGTTTGAAAATATGAGAAAGCCAAAATCGTGAAGGAAATTACTTGTTGAACTTCAGTTCCTAATGGCCATGGTGGCTTGGGAGGATTTGTAGACTAAAAAGTAACTTTCCTAAGCTCTGGGAAGCTATAATAATCTTTCATAGTAACAATATTTTTGTAGATTTCCTCATTCCATACATGCTTATTTACCTTATGTTCTCTAACCTACAGTAACCTTTTCACATTTATGCAGTTTACATTTATAGCACATGTTCCTCACAAAGCTACCTAAAAGGCCGCATCTCCCTGTGGAGCCTATACGGGCTTTAAGATAATCAGGGGAGACCTTTCTCTGGGTCTCACCGCCTTTGCAGGTGTGTCTGATGGGGACACCGGAGAGAACTTTCTTGCTTCCATAGGGAATAATGTGGAAACCAAGGCATGATTTTCAATGGATTTCTGTTTGTAAACCGAAAATTATGTTAACTGAGGTGTTCATAAACTGAGGTACTACTGTAGAGATAGATAGATAGATAGATAGATAGATAGATAGATAGATAGATAGATAGATAGATAGATAGATAGATAGATAGATAGATAGATAGATAGATAGATAGATAGATAGATAGATAGATAGATATACACAGACCGACCGACCGACCGATAGAATTAAACATCAACCACACCTGAAATTTGTTCTCCAATGTCCATCTGAGCAGACTAAAAAACAAGATGACAACTTTTCCCAAGTGCCTTTTAGCAAACCTGAGAACGATTACTTTTTGGATCTATTGTTTCTAAAGCTTTCTGCCAGCTGGGAGATTATCGGAGTTTCAAGGGGGGGGGGGAATGGGGAACTTTCCCAAACTCTGCCTTTGAGGGACCATCCCATTTCCCACACAGCCAGCTATACAGGCTTCTCATTTCCTCAGCCAGTTTCTGATAACAGCTGACTTGAAGGTCAGTGGCAGCACCTTGAGCAGTCCAGTAATAGAGAGAGAAAAAAACAGCTGTTTAAGCGTAACTTAATCAACACCGTTCCCTCAGCTTCTGCCCTCTGAGTTTGTCCCCTTGACAACTTCCCACTGTCAGCAGTTTGCCATCAAGAGGATATAGTTAGAGAGGTGTTTTTTTTGTTTTTTTGTCATTGGCCAAGTAAATCTCTGACAAAATGAGCTGTGGAGTTGCAGAAACATTACTATGGAAAAATACCATTCATCCCCACAGATGCATATAAATAAATGAGGAGGTGGTATACCTTCCCCACCTTGATGTCATCCCTCGGCAGCAGCCGAAGGAAGAAAGAAATGCAGATGCTCTGGGATGAGAGGCAAGGGACTTGATCTAGTAAGGGGAAGACGCAAGGAAATTACAAGATGTTGGCTGAACTATGAAATAAACTTCAATGATAAGAAGTATTCATCAGGGTAATGGACTGCCCTGTGGATTGTTCCCCGGAGACCTTCAGGAAAAATAAAGTGGAGGGAGCTATAAGTCTAAATTAAAAAAAAATAAACAAATAGCAAACAGCAAAAATAAAACCAAACCAATCACGTGCATTCCACATGCGTACCTCATCAGTCTACCAGTTGAAGTACAGTACATAAATGCTTATGGGAGAAAGGTCAATTTATGTATATTCACCACACATTTCCCCCAATAAATGTCAAAATCCATTTGATGACAAAAATAAGTGCCAGTTACCAGCAGCCTTCTTCGCTGGGGATTTCTTGGAAACCACACTTAAAAAAAAATTAAACAGTGGTATTTATCACCATGGAAGTCTGTGAAAATGAAAAGACAACAATTACAGAAAGGGACCAAATCTGGAGCTTAAGAGTCACAAAGGAGATCCCGCATAGGCGGTGGCGTCTGATGGTTGGTGGGTGAGGAATGTTCGTACAACTCCCGTCTTTCAAAAAAAAGGATAATCACCAAGCATGTGATTTGTAGCATTTTTTTTTGCACTGAGTTAATACATGTGGCTGTTCTCATCAGTGTGAACACCACGATGCAGACTTCAAGAAAATCGCACAGTCAACTGATCAGATGAAAACAATATTGTCACACGGATTGTGGGACAAATGTGTTCTCCATTGTTCCAAAAAGTAGGAATTCTAAGAAATGTTGTGACTAAACATTAGGAAGAATCTTCTTAATGGCGTGTACTCTTTGACAGGAGAACGGATTACGTCAGAACATTCAGGAGGGATGATCTAATAGCTTTCCCAGCATGGACCAGAGAGTGGGCTGGGTAAAAATGCAATTCTATAGTTTATCACCTTCTGTCTCTACCAACATGTGTATATTACGTGTATGAAAGGAGACCGCAGACTCTGGAATATTTAAATTCTGGGAGCCCCCTATTAATGCTCCAATCTTACCTTCATACAGCCAGTCGCTGAGTCCATTGAAAATAACTTTGTCTTTTCCTGTGGAGACCACGCGGATGGCCTGCTTCCCCACACGGGCACAATAGTAGATGTTGTTCTCGAAGATAAATAACTACGTAGAGACACAAGAAAGAACCATTTTGTCATTATAATTAACCCATAAGGCTCAACAGCAAATAACTTTATGATAATTAATGCACTTATGATACACTGTTAATAAAGCAATGAGCAGAAAACCTCCTGTATCACTAAGTCTTGCATGCAGATCTGCTTTCTGATCAGGTTTTGACTCAATACTGTAATGTTTTTCAGTCACAGGGTAAAAAAGGGAATGGATCCCAATACAAGTACAGATCCTAATTTAATTTCAACAGCTGTCTGGGCAGTGGCTTGCCCTAAGGCGGAAAAAATGGTAGTAAAAATTTTAACTCCCTTCTATGCGTTTCAAGTCTTAGTGGAGATAAAAGGGCTTTTAAAAGAACTGTGTCCAATCCATACTACCTGAAAGTAAATATGCTGTGACCGATACTAATTTTTTTTTTCTTCCTCTTCCTTTCAAATCTCCTTTGGTTATGTGAGATGCTGAAAATACAGTGCAACGCAGAGGATAAAACAGAATCAGAAGGTGACACAGGAGTTAGAGGAGGGGGATCATACATCTCAGCAAGAAGATACACTCTTTGCATCAGTACCTCTGAATATCAGCCACTGAGGTCCAATAACTGAAGACGACTAGGGGACCATGTTCCAAATGTGGGCCATGCAGAGATATCTGGTTTGAAACCAGATACTGGAGGACATAGTCCTTAGATCTGAACAAGCTTGGTTGTTACTGGTTGTTGTGGGTTTTTGGGGCTCTTTGGCCGTGTTCTGAAGGTTGTTCTTCCTAATGTTTTGCCAGTCAGTGCTGTCCTCTGAAGATGCCAGCCACAGAGACTGGCGAAACGTCAGGAAGACCAACCTTCAGAACATGGCCAAAGAGCCCGAAAAACCCACAACAACCATTAGATCCCAGCTGTGAAAGCCTACGCAAATAACTTGGTTGTTACATTTCTAACTTGATATTTCTCACCAGAATTTGGAAAAGTTACCTTTCTCAATCACTATTCATGTAGGCTAGGTGATTCTGGAAATTGTGGTCCCCCTCCCCCCAAAAAAGAGGCTTTTCCAAGGTCCAATTCTGGTTAAACATGATCCTTGAAGGCTAGAATCCTCCATCCTTCCCACTTTGAAACTACTAGGACTGGGTAGTTATATCTATGACTGTAAATATGCATGGGTGTATATACTGGGTGTATATATTGGGAATGCCCATATATGAGATATATTGGCATTGCCTTAGTTGTGTTGGATTGCTATACAGAATACAACAATGGCTGGAGATGATGGGAGCTGTTGTCCAACAAAACTTGAGGGATGCTAAGTTAGGGAGGGTCATGCTAAAGGGTGTGAACTTGACCTAGACTTGAAGGAAATGTACCGAAGGACCCCCATCTCCACGGGATCAGTATCCACTGATTCACTATATTGGCATTGCCTTAGTTGTGTTGGATTGCTATACAGAATACAACAATGGCTGGAGATGATGGGAGCTGTTGTCCAACAAAACTTGAGGGATGCTAAGTTAGGGAGGGTCATGCTAAAGGGTGTGAACTTGACCTAGACTTGAAGGAAATGTACCGAAGGACCCCCATCTCCACGGGATCAGTATCCACTGATTCACTTATCCACAGTTCAGTTGAACTTGTGTTTTTTCAGCATCCATGGAGGATGCTTGGAACCAATCCCCCACGAGTGTGGGGGTCCTAACGTATAGCATCTGCAGTAACAGACAGAGATGGAGACTCCAGTTGAGGGAATCACTGTCAAGGTGAACTCAAAGACTTGTTAACATCCGTGGTAGCAGAGGTTGTGGAGACACTGCAAATGGGAATTATCTGAGACCCTAATCTACCTTGCCATGCTTCTCAGGGTGTCCCACTTATTGCTGAGAAATGAGCAGAACTTCAAGGGCAGAAGCCTGGTTTTTCTATGTAGAGAAAGGAGAGACTATAAATGGCTCTATATGACCGTCTTTTATAGAATCTGAAAAACTCCATCACACTTTCCAGGCAGACCAGTTTCATGAGCCATGGGCATGACATCTATCCCAATTCTGGACTATTTATCATAACCCCAAATTGTATGCCATAATGGCCTGACAAGGAGCTATGAAAAACTGAGAATGGTTGTTGTGGGTTAAGTGCTGTCCTCTGGACATGCCGGCCACAGAGACCGGTGAAATGTCAGGAAGAACAACCTTCAGAACACGGCCAAAGAGCCCGAAAAACCCACAACAACCATTAGATCCCAGCCGTGAAAGCCTTTGCGAATACAAAAACTGAAAAGCTTGCCTTACTTGATTTTTTTTTTTTTTTGGCTCAGTAAAAGTGTCATGCAAGCCAAAACTCAGTATATCCTCCTCCTTTTGTTTTTCTGGGAGTTGCAGATTTCTAATCAGTTTTCTTCCATTAATATAATCACCCAACTTGACAGGGGTTCCATAGTTTTATTGGCTTTTAGAATCAGTAAAAGTGTCATGCAAGCCAAAACTCAGTATATCCTCCTCCTTTTGTTTTTCTGGGAGTTGCAGATTTCTAATCAGTTTTCTTCCATTAATATAATCACCCAACTTGACAGGGGTTCCATAGTTTTATTGGCTTTTAGAAGAAGATACCACAGCTCGGAAGTAATTTAAAATTTCTCTCTCGTATGTAGTGGCTTGCTATCTAAACATAAGGCTTAACCATAAGCCAATTTAATAGAGATGTCGGCTACAGGGGCCTTTATTTTGGTATTTCCCCTTTAAAAAACATCATCTGAACTTAAAACCCCCATCAAACTACTCATGACAAATTCATTTGATTTGTTCCATGAAATATGTTTCTAACATTTTAATAGTTTTGACATTAAAAAAGAGAGACATCTCCCAAAATAGCTTTAATTCTTGGAACTGGACAATATATCATATGAATTACAGGTACTATAAATTTTAAGAGGGATT